AAGAAGAAAGTAACTGCCACAGACTGTTCCTAACCCAAATTTAACATAAGAAACCCAACCTAGCCACAGCACAGTAAGTCTAGTCAGTGTTTTCTACTCTACAAACTCACTTACCTCTCATCTCACCTCCCAAAGAAAAATTTCGAATGCAGAAAGAAATTAGGAACATAATTCATTATCGTACTCTAAATGTCACCTAGCCCTTTTGCTCTTTGTCAGATTATTTTTACTGTTTATACCCCACTGTCTTGACCTAAAATACATACTTCCTGTCTCAAATAAGCTATGAAAGCATTTGTGAGGCATCACCCTGATTTTTCTGCTGAAGGACATGCTGTGTCCCAGAAATCTACAAGGCACAAGGAAAGAGAATTAATAAATGATTTTCAGTCTGTGGTCTACAGTCCCCAGGGATTCCATGAGCTATTTCTAAAGGGTCCAGGAAAAAAACAACCAAGGCAAGCAAGATGCTTGTCATTATGCTTTGTTTTACTGGGCAGTCCATTAGAAAAATATTTTGAAATGTTTAGGGAAAAGATAGAAGAAATCATCCAAGATCAGAGGCAATCTAGAAAAGTCCATGAAGTCACCTACAGAGCAGGAACTTTTTGATTCATATCTCTTTCTGGACAGTAAGTGCTTCAACTAGCTGAAACATGAACCTATGGTGATTTTATATAGCTTCTCAGCAGCATTTTGCAGTCCATGCAGAATTGTTGCTGCTGCACCAATTTCCTCAGCAGCATCCATGCCAGATAGCTTAAAGCTGGTGCAGTGGCTTCATCACCTTTTTAGTGCTACTTTATCTGAACTGTTGTCATTTCAGTAAGTCAAGAGGCTTTGCTTTTATCTTAAAAGTAGAAACATTATTGAACTGTTCATTTTTTGCATTATAGATCTGCTTTGCTGATTTACCCAGCCAGCCCTAGATCTTCTTGACTCATCAAGTATCGCCGGATCTGCTCCACATTGCTGTAGTCTGTGTACAGCTCTCTTGCAAGAGAGACTAAACTTTCTTCTGCTGCATCAGTATTTGTCATGCTGTCTGTCGTATCACAGATCTGTCTGGTGCAGAAACAGGCAACAGAGCACAACTGCATTGTACAACAGAGCCTGGTAAAAAGGTTGCTGAGTTAATGCCCACCAAATTAGTTTTGCATTGGGAAACAGCCTAACACCTCAGTGCAATAGCCTGGCCAGCTAATTTTCCCTGCAGAGCAAAGGAGTCACTAGTGGAACTGCTGTGCTGTCCTCTAGGTCCAGACTGCTGTCTCAGCACAGCACTGCTCAGGTACTCCAGCTCTCACTCCAGTACATTTGAGCTCGGAAATACAGACATGTCACCAGCGTGCTAGTCCAGAAATCACTGAAGGGATGCTGAGTATTTTCCACAGACCACATAACCTCTAAGCAGCATGTTTCCATAAAGAAGTGGAGCAATAAATAAATAAATGAGCAAATAACAAAATATTTTCCATGCTCTTGTGCAGCAGCAAAAAAATACCCAAGCTAAGAGTGGTACATTAGAAACATAGCAGGTACAAGAAGCCACTGCAAAATAATCTGTTTACCATTCCACTGCTTGGTGTCATTTCCAGATTGAATCAGGTGTGGAAAGCAGACTGGATTAGCTTCAAGGGCACGGGGGAGATGGCTTTAGGCTATCACTGATGCTGTGGAAATGTATTCAAGTTCATGGTACTTAGCAGGACTCAGTCAGGATAGGTGATCTCTAAATGCTCTTGTTTATTGATGCAGTGCTGGAGGACCAGAGCTTGCCATCAGTAAGCATATACTGGCTGCTCACCTTCCCTCTTGTAAAACAGGTGTCTCAACTTTTCCCTTCCTAAAGCATCCTCCCCATCAGCTTTTCGCACTGCCCCCCTCCCTGTTTCTGTGCCACGTTGGAAAGTTGGTCCCTGTTCCTCCCAGCACTGGTGTCACACTGCCTGCATTTTACAGTTTTGGGGTGTAACCTCTGAGCTAAAGAAGACTTCTGGTTGCACTGTACCTTACAGAGGTCTTCCTAAGACATGGGACCCTTCAGAGGTTCCTTATCCTAGGGCATCTATGTCCTGGATGGTTGAGTATTAAATCAGAGGCAATCTTTAGAGCAAGTCACAAACTCACTGACACTGAGATGCATCAACCCTGCTACCCACCAGGCCCTAATCACCCCTGATGGCAATGCTTTCATTACCTGACTATAGCCAATCTCTATGGAGTTCTTAAATAGGAAAAATTAATTATTATTTCATTTAAGAAAAAACAGGAAAATTAATTGAGTTGGTTCCTGTTAGTAAACCCAAGTCTAGAGAACAGCCACACAGCCAGCAATGCCCAGTCAAGAGCAAGGAGGGTGGAGAAAGGATTGGACACATCAACCTTAGACCCACTGCCATGTCTCTGCCTTGTTTGTGCAGCCTCCAGTACTGAGATTCAAAGATAATGTCTTTGATTTAGAAAGCTTTTGAGTCAGACCTCTGTAGGCTGAAAGTACCACTGTGGGCTTGCCCTGCATCCTTCCCCAGGGTTCATTGTTGGCAGTTATTAGAAACACAGCAGCAGGCGTGTGAACCCTTGTCTTATGTTCTAAGCTATCTCAAAAGCTGAGGAAGGAATTTCTCTTACTTCTGCTGCCTCTGTATTTAGAAAAACATTAGTGAAAAATGTCCTGTGAAAAATCAGTGAAACCAGTGAAAAAACAGCAGTGGTGGTAGAAAACAGTGTGGGCACAAGCACAGCACTAGGAACAGCAGCACAGATTAGCCGAAGGGAAGGGAAGGACAGAGCAGGGAGGCAAGATGTGGCAGTGGGAAAAAGGGAAAAAGATTATTATCTGCAGCTCATGCTCTGCCCCAGATGTGTCTGGCTCTGTGGGCATGGTCATGACAGATTCATAGAACAGGAAAAATCTAGAGGAGTCCCTTTGCTATGCCAGGGACACAGTCCCTGCAACACCCAGCCCTCGGACTGTGGTAGGGTTAGGCACCATCTACACATCAGCTTTCTATGCTTAGTTATACAGGCAGCACAGTACAGGTCTGCAAGGATGGGATTCATCTCTCCTGACTTTAGGTGTCTATAGCATGACTGCCAAGGGGGATCTAGGCAGTAAAACCACTGCAGTTGGAGGATGTACTCATATAACCAAACACAGGGATCTGCTTCAGCATGAGTCGTGCCCTAGTCTCAGCTACGTTGATTAATCCTGCACGAACAAGGAAAAAAACCCTAAGGTGTCTAGCTCAGATGCAGACATTTACATATGATTAGGAGTCAGTGTCATATTCAGAATCTGAAAATAAAGTAGTCCAGAATGCAGTGAGGACCCATCCTGGCACAACAATGACAGCAGTAGTCACACCAATACGTAGCTGGGGAATGTGGATAAAAATAAAACTACAATAACTGTTGATTAAATAGAACAGTATTTACTGGTATTCCCAAAATATAAAAAACCCTTTAACAGGGTTCAAAGCTTTGATGTGCTAAGCACTGCACAACCATATAATAAAAAGACACTCCCTATCTCTGGAGGAGTAAGATCCATATGTGGTCACCACTCATTTTCTCTGACTCCTTTTTTCCCCAGCCATTTCCAGGAGTGTCTCAGCATCATCCATTTCTCTCAAGGGCTTGTGCTGGAATGCAGTAACATGATTTTGGGAAGCATTTGTGTTAAAACAGGGTTGCCTCAGAACAGGGCATATACATTGTTTGCAAACTTTCTGACATTGTAAGGCCAAGTTTGTACCATGACATTTCAGATTTTCTTTCAGGTAATCTTAGGTTGTTTGAATATGTCTCAAGAACTTCGGCCAAGACTTCAAACAGAAAGAGGTTACAAAGAAGAATATTAGAAATATTCCCCAAATATGTGAGGAAACTTTTGCATATATACAACAACAAGAACAGTTGGAGGAAAATGGGAAAGAAACATATTTACAGACCTCCTTTGTAACTCAGTAACAACAGGCTCAGAGCAACTTGTTAAAGAAAGCAGAAAAATATTGAAAGTATTTTTTACTTTATCTGTAGCCAGGCTTGAATTCAGGTGTGCGTCAAGTACCCGGCCATTTTCAAGAGCTCTATGTTCAGTTTTTAAAATAAAGTCAACTTGCCTTTTTAATTCACATAGAAGACTCAAAATACACAAGGGTTTCTTTGGAGTTGCAAATGAAATCTTCAAAGAAAGCCCAGGAGGCTTATTAAAGTTTGAGCTGGGAAAAGGGAAAAATAAAAAAAGAAACCCAAGCATGGTCACAAGGATCACTATTGGCTGCTAGGGATATGACGCTGTGAGATGGCCTGAGAGAATAAAATATCTGGAAAGAACAGAAAAGAACAAAGCAAAAATAACTGTATTTAAAGGAGCTTGTTTGACTAAGAGCTTCTCAAATACCTGTAAAAATTCACAGATATTTACAAAATCCCATTAGTGAGCCAGCTGTATAACTGTCCAGAGAGTACATTATTTTTTATTTAGCTAAAAGTACCTAGAATATATATGTTCTTAAACAGTTTGCTTTCTGTAAAATGGAGGATGCACCTTTGAGAATTGTGGAATCAAAGGAAAACATGGAAATGAAGTCAGAAACAGGAAAATGTATCAACAATTGCATCAGAAAAAAACAAACCAAACTGTTACTTTCAGTGTTGCATTCTATCACTCCATAAGCTCTATTATAGCCAAATGAAAGCAGCAGAGAAGGGAATCAGGTCAATTCAAGACATGATTTATTCTGAACCTCCTCTGTAGCTCCTTTAACATAAGCACATTTCACTGTACCACTAAGAATAGTCCTATCGAAACTGAGAGAAATTTAAAGCATGTGTGCATGTTTGCACTGGGTGAAAGCGATCTGGTACAAACCTTTTCTCCATTTCTGCAACATTAAATGACATTTAGACTTCTTCTTTGCCTCCAGGGACAGTCCTACTGAGCAATGAATAGGTGTTTAAATCATTAGCTCTGAGGAGAAAAACTTGCACAAAAGATGGACTTCGTGGAGGAAAAAGGTAGTTCCGAGTGTTGGTTGTGGCTCTCAGTAAGCAAACGACCATGAAAGTTGAGTCAATACTAGTACTGACACCGTTTCTCTTGCTTTAAAAGATTTACACTGCATGCTGCAAAATGTTTGAGCGTTCACATCTGAACACCATGCCCAAATGAAACTGCTGCTATTCACAGCACAGTTAGCATTCGTACATAGAAATGCAGGGCTCATCTTCACTGCAGATTTAAATTAACTTTGCTGTGATTGAATGTTGCCTTTACATGAAGTCCTGCTGACACGCAATAAGCTCACTCAGTATGATGTAGAACAGATACAGAATAGAAGTAGATTAGTGCTGCCAGTCCTCACACACCTTCCCATAAATTTCAGGTATCAAAAAAGTATGACATTCTGCCAGAATTCACAGTGAAATGGTTTAGAGAATAATTTCCTATATTTTTTCTGCTAATTACAACCCAGTCCAAAATGATCCCTATAGTTGTCTGCCCTGGTAATCCATCAGAAGCTGCCCTTTCTCTTCTCTATTACAGCAGGAGCAACTGAAGTAAAACCATTTTTTTTTTCCCCCAGAACTGTGGTTTCATGCGCATTAACAGGGATTTGCACACTGCCAAATCACTCTGGAAGCACAAATTTAATCTTGATCATGTGTGGGCATATGACTGCACTTCTGTCAAATCAGGCAGGGCACATGATGAAGTTTTCAGTATCTTTCTATAAACGTGAACTTTATGTCAGCCCGGGAGGGTGGATGACATCTGATCTCTCACAAAGCCAGGCAGTATAAAGTTAACCCCTCACATTACTCTGAACAGATCCCGGAGGGCAGAAGGAGTATATAGGAGGTCAATACTCTGCATGGGGCTGTGCTGTTCTGGATGCCATGAGGAGATTACAGAAAGTAAATGGACTGAATGAGCCCTTCAAAGCCTCACAGCAGCACAGTCCTGGATGTCAGCTTACCCTGGCAATTTTAAAATGGATTTGTACTTCGCATCCTTCTTCGAGTCATGTCCTGCCAGCCTGCAGGGCGAACAAGAGAGACGCTGTATTATCCTTCACTTCTTTACCTCACACAAGATTACCTCGAAGTGAAATAATTCCAAAAAATAGATGTAAAATAACTCTGCTTGTACACTGCAAATGTTCCACTATAATGCGCAAGGCACACAGGGCATATCTGCTTCCCTGGATCAAGAAGAGAAGCTCAGAACCGTCTCCCAGCCCTCCCTTACAGACTGCTACCACCTCGTGGCCATTCTTGTTCCACCTCTTGGCAGCAGCAACCGAAATTTTCAAAAGTCCGTTCTTTTTTCCTCTGTTCTCTTAGCTGTTCCATTAGAAATAAATGATTCTTAGGGAAAGAAGTACCAAACCAAAAGAACTTTAGGTGTACTGTGACACTGTGGAAAGAATAACATTAAAGAAAACATGTCCAAAACTTCTTTTGTAAAGTTTACACATGGATCTCAAAATAGCACCTATCACTCTATTTTGCAAAAGCAAATAAAACTTTTAAGGAAAGACAGCACAGATGCTTTAAAAACAAATTAATCATTTGCAAAGAAAGATATCTCTAATATCAAAAAAAAGCTCTAGTGCACTCATCCTGAATTCCTGCCATTCTTGATTCACTCAGAAACAAATTGAGACAGTGAAACAGTTTACAATATTAAGCTTAAAGAAAACATTTTAAATCAAGCTGCTACCAACACAAGCATTTTTTCCCTAAAAAAGAATATAGCAATACATAACTTCTTACCAGAAGTACCCAAAGATTCCTGGAGATCCCAGACTAAAGTTTAGGCTGTGAAGTTTCCCCTGTAAGCTCCAGTAAGGGATGATGCTGCCCAGTGGACAGGACAGATTTATAACACACTGGCAGTTCTTCCACTCCAACCTCTGGGCCAAGTCAATCCTGCTTCCTATCCCTGCCTCTCCTGTTAACCTCTCTAAAGGAAGGGTTGACTCTTCGCAAAACATTGTACTAACACAACACGATTGAGAAGATGAATTTTAACTACCACAATGATAGAAATAAACATAGATAATTGAATTAGGAGGACATGACTGATTTTATTTGTTTTGTGATTAGATCACAGAAATTATTGTTTATACAAGGGAAGCAAATCTGATAGTTCAACTGGCATTTTGGGAAAAGAAAAAAGTAATTCTGGAAATAACAAGATTTTAATCAGCTAATATTACTTTTCATCCTACAAAACTAAATAATTTTAAGGCCAGTTTCAGGATTTTTTCCCCACTATTTGCTTATACTACACAGTTATTTTCTTATGGCACACTGTAGTAATATATTAAACTCACAATTTTCTCTCATCATACGTAAGGAAACATTATGGTTCAAATTTCTTTTCTCAGAGACATAATTTATTTCAAATATTTTAATAGCATGGCACAGATGTTCCACACCTGTGTGCATCTCAGGACCACCTTTATTACAGAGAGAAACATAGACATTGCTTTCCAGAGTTGAAGATGCAGAGTCTGACTCTAGAGGGGGTTGTATACATGGAATGTGATGATGAAAAGGACGAAGAATCTTTCCTACTTGTATTAAGAACCAGTGTTCCCTCATTTCATGTACAAACTGATACAACCAGAACACATATTGCTGATATGGATGTCATGGCATTCGTCTTGTGGCAGCAAACAGCAAAACTTGCATGACTGTTTAGCCGTAGAGACTATTTGTGGAGCTAGTAGGTGTTTTGTGATTATACAGATCCAGAGTACATAGTAACATCACTACCGCAAGAAGTAGGTTCAAATTCTCTCTCTTCTGCTCAGTAAAAGATCACACTTACCAACCACTGTCCCTTCTGTGACCGCATGTCCCCTTTGCTGTGGGCAAGGTTCAGGGGGCTGGGCAGTCATGCCTGCCCGTAATTCACAGAAATCCTGGGCATGGATATTCACACACAACCAACTTGGACTCTGTGTTAGCCAAGGATCTCACCACCGGTGCTTCTGTAGCCAGTGGAGGTAAAGCAGGCCTTCTAAAGAGCAAACCCGAGCAGATCCAAAATTTCATGCTCAGAATTGTTCTTCAGGAGTACTTACTTTCATGGACAACAGAGGAAGCTGAGGGAGTCCAGCCAGTTTGCTTAGGTGACTGTGGCTTCCAGCACCGCAGTTTTTCCTGAATTCCTGTGTAAATTGACCTTTCTGTTGGGCTTTCGCAATAAAACCCACCAGACCTTTCTGCTTGTGCCTCCTCAAACAGCTGAAGAGCACTGTGTCTCAGTTGTGCACAAGACAGAGTACTGTCCATGCACAGAATAACGATGGAGTACATTACTATGGAGATTTGACCTAATTCTTCTGCAGGGCATAAAATAAACCAAAATAGAGGCAGCTCTTCTCTCTGAAATAAATAAAAGTAAGCTGTCCTACTGTGGACTTTCAATTTCATTTTAGTATTTTAATTTAGGTTTTTTAGGATGAAGAGCCCCCTAACTCACTTGTGAGAGAAGGCGGTTAGCAGTGTACTGTTCTTACACATTAAGACTCTTTCAATTATTCCCCTACATTTTCCTCGTAAAACCACAGGGTGGGAGAGAGGGGAAGGGGAAAAATATTAGTGCTCACATTACTGTCAAACTCTAAAGAAAATTGGAAGAAGGTCTAGTCATACTTCATGGTTCTTGAACTCAGTGAGTAGTTAACTCAGTCCCATCTTGCAGCTCACCTGAATCACCTGTTACTGAGCCATGTATCCATTAGTTATGTATCCACTACATTTAGAAAATGGGTTCATCGGTTTTGGATTTAATTCATTTACTTTTTACATATGATGTCATGCACACCTGAAGCCAGATCCTCCAGGTGTCTATTATGTTATTTTGTCCGCTGCAAAGAGAATTAGATCTAGGAACCAGGTCTAAAGAAATAAGAAATTTTTTTCTGACAAAAAATAAGTCTTACTGGTGCTGGTATCTGATTAAGGCCCAAAGCAAATACAAATTCACATGAAACCAGACTTTTATCTTTTGGCTTGATGCAAGCAGATAGTAGGAAGGATAGGGAATTCTTTGGAAGGGGATAGTGTCTATGATTCTGTGACAAGCAATTAACTCTGGGCAGTGTTGCGGTCAATGCACAGTACTAGAGTCCCAATCATCCAATTACTAGATTTTTTTTTTTCCAAAGACACTGCATTACAGACATGCAGCATCTGTGTGATCAGCAATCAGGGACTTCACTCTGTAGTTGGAGCACCTCTTTTCCTAATGGTGCCACTGGTGTCTAATGTTCATCATTGTCATCTGATGGTAAACAAGCTGTACAGGGAGCAGAAGTGAGTTTGCACAGCAAAAGTTTGTACATGAACAAAATAATATGTATTTTTATTTAGAGCTGTAGTGAAGGTTTGTTCACAGATTCAAAAAATGAGGTTCAAAATGAGGCTTCCCTATTCATCTATGTGGAACTGGTGTAAATAGGATGAACCACTTTTCAGTGCGTCCTTTATATTATAAAGATTACAGTATAATCTTACTGCTTGTACTCCTGTGTGACTCTTTTTTTTTTCATATTGGATACTCACTACCCTGAAGTCATTGAACACTACAACAGGTTTGGAGATAATACAGCCATAGAAAACTCTTGACAAAGAAGTTTTTATTTAGGAGAAGGTGGAAACAGTCTGATAAATCTTGCTGTGAGCTGTAGGTAGATGAAGGACTTGCTTTGCTTTCCTTTATGAATCTAATTCAAAGCCTGATGAAATCAATATGCTTTCCTTTGCTATTTTAAAGCACTTGGGAATAAATTATTTTCCTATAGATAGGGATGAAAATTAGTTACATAGTTACACATCTGTCTCATCATCCATAAGTTCTGCCTGTACTGTTACTTATCCCAGAAGTCCAACTCAGCTCAAGCCGTTGTTCTCAGTGAATAACAATATGAACCAGCTTAAAATGCATTTGTTGTGAAAATATGAGAGGAGAATGATAACAGCCACAAGAGAAAGTGAAAAATATGAGAACTGTGTGACTGCAACATCAACACTGAAATCTGTGTTGGAGGAATATTTTGTTATCCTGTTTTCTATAGTGTTTTTGCCAAAATTTATAAACAAAACCTGGCCACATTGCATCAGTGCTTAATTACAGCCTTCTATGTCTGGCAAGAATAAATTGGACAGAGTTGAAGGGAGTGAGTTGCTTTATTCCGCTGTCACTGTTTGAGTATCAGAGTTATTTATTCTTTCCTGTGTTTGCTAAGTTTATCCAGTTGCCTTGGATGAACTTGGAACTTCTGGCAGTTGCTGATTGTGGTCCTGGAATACTTCTATATTGATAAGAAAGGATAAGAACAGTTTTGCAATCCTGGAGTAATTAGTTGTGGCCATAAAATATTCAGAAGCACAAAATTGAAAGGAAGCTAGCACTCTTCTTGAGGCCAACACAGTCAGTAAAAGCTTGTAATACACTTAAAAGCACTGGTACTCGTTGACATTATGTTTATTTAGAAATTAGCTACTTCTGCAGTATGGGCATATTACCTGTCATGAGTAGGTTGCTACATTTGGTGACAAACAAAACTGGCAATTGCTGTGTGTCTAGGAAGGGACCTCTGTCCTTTGCAATTGGACATGCTAATTTATTGGAAGGCCTAAGATGTGGAGGAACACTCAGAATCCCAGCTCCCTGCCTTTTTGTAAACAAGGGCAGGGATTTCTGTTATAGTCTTTTAGTTGCTGTTCTTTAAAAAGCATAGCTTTCCGTGTTCTTTGTTAGTGACTTGAACTTCATGCACAGGCAACTGGGAGTGATTCTTATTCAGCCTATCCAACTCTCCAACAAAGCGTGTGTTGTGATATTGTGGTTCTCAGGCTTCCTTAATGAAATTTTCCAACCGAGGAGCTGAAAACCGCTGCCTTAAGTATGGCCAGTTGTTCCTCCTCTCCCGAGGAATGACATTCTGCAGGCAATTACAAACAGTTAGCAACTCTTGGGATAGAAAATATCAAGATGCAGTAGAATATGGGTGCTTGCTTAGCACTGAATGTGTTCTATAGGTGATAATCACATGCACAAACTCAGCACTTTCTTTAAGCACCTCCTTTTAAGGAGTAGAGTGAAGAATGTTTTTAGAAGTTCAAATTGTAATTAAAAGTCCTAATTAAGATACCAGTTGCATTCTTGATATGCTCAGTGGGAGTAGGCATCTTTTCCTGGCAGCTGCATAGACTTTGATTTATAGCAGTGTAAATCAGATTTGCACCTGATTCACTGTGAGGTGCTTTTTCAGGGCAGCACACGTTATTTAACACTATATCATACAGTGCTAACCAGCATCACACTGTCTGCTTTCTGCCTACCAACATTTGAGTACCAGCCGGCCCACACACTGAGCTCTACACAAGCAGACACACAGTGTAAGCAATGCACAGGCAGGGATGCTACATCGCTTCACTATTGTCAGCTTTACCAAGTATAACAGCCTATATAAACATGGCTTGTGGTACTCAGAAGTCAGTGCAAAGAAACAGAATAAGAAATGGCTGGTGAAGGACTGGAAATTAATCAAGTATTAGAAAAACAATGTGGAGCAAGGTAGACATCGTTATTCCTCACGTTGGGTGTTCTAGCTGCCTCATGACCGAGACACCTGCTACTTTGTCCACTGTTATCCTTACTCCTACTCCAGTCTGCAGGAGTATCTGGGGGCCATCTCTAAAGATCCAGTGAAGTCCATATTCTGCAAGATTCACATCTTATGCCATGAACTGGTAGGAAACAGAGTATGTTTTAACTACCACCACCACCCTGCCCCTCCAAAAGTGACAAGGAAGGCTGTGACACTGACAGTGAGGGTGCATCCGGGAGAAACAAACCGGGATTTCATTCTTGGTAAGCAAAGCTTACCAAGAGTTGTTACCAACAGCAGTTGTCCTGTGGGACAGTTTTATCTTGAAAGTGGTACCAGTGTTGAATCCAGATGGTGCGATTATGGGAAATCACCACTGCTTTTAACAGGCCATGACCTGAACTGCAAATACAGATCTAGTGTAGGACAAATGTTACCCTTCCACCTGGTATACCCAAAACAAGATAAAAAGATAACCTCATTTTCTTTCCCTTTAGAACAGTTGATTTTCCTTTTCACTATATTTTTGTTAGTTTGATGTCTCTATGTCCCTTAGTGTTTTGATATTATTTGCATCTTTGCACTGCACCCAAGCCTTTCTGATCACTTTGTTTAGATTCAGTTGCATTTCAGAGTGGGTTATTTGCACGTTTTCCCTTAATATACTTACTTCCTTCTGGTAATTAATTATGTCTTCAAAGCAAAAAGAGTTTTCATCAAAACATTTTCAGCATATTTCTCTCCATATCCTCTGCAAAAACCTAGTTATCAAATTTCTTATTTCTTTCATTTGCTTCTTTCCTGGCTTACAGCTACTTTCCAGAATGAGGTTAGGTTCAGAATAGATCCCAGATGTCCATTTGACAGCAAAGATTGCCAAATTTGCTTGTTTTGCTATAAATGGTTTTGACTTCCTATGCAAACTTCCAGTCACAAAGACATTGATACTACAGATATAAAACTAAACCTTCAGGTATTAAACTAAACCTTTGGAAAGTAAACTAAATCTCTCTAGTCTAACTTCTACAGCAAATTAATATAAACAAAACTCTTGTGCAGCAAGTCAGTGTCAGAATTAGTACATTTAATGTTTTTCATCAAGGTACAGTCTGTTTTAAATAAGGTTTGTGTTCCTTCACATGACTGTTTTGGCTTGTAGATCCCTCGCTTACAGGAACTGATGCTTTAGGCTGCAGACAAAACACACATTTGAAAAGACATATGAAAGGACACACATGTGAAAGACTTGGGAGTCCATAGGACAGCATTTCCACAATGCTCTCTTGAGCTACTGTGTAAATAACAAGCAGGTAAAGACCCCCACAGGCCTTTTCTCCTGCCTCAGTTAGTCCAGCTGTGAAAAACAGAGTAGTCTATAGATCCATAGCAGTAATAAAGTTGATAATGGCTTTCTTTGACCAATTGACTAAATTTGCAGCGTTTCTTATTATTAGCTGTGCCTGAAGGAACACAAGAAGGTAGTGAAACAGTAAGCCAGGGTAAACTCCAAGGTCCTAAATTATGATGTGTTAGACTGGAATTCCAAGTAACGTAGAATTATTCAGATATGCCAAGATTTATTTTATGTTCTCTTTATCTCATAAAGAGTGCCAGAGGAAAAGTTATAAATGTTACTAAGATTGGACTTTTAATAGTCACACTTCTTAATGTAACACTTCTTAAAAGATTCCACACAAATCTTATAGCCAAACCTTAATAGCCAGTTCATTAGAAGCAGAGCTCTGTATCTATGCCAGGTGGTCTTCCTGAGGAGAAACGAAACTTCATTGATACAGTCCTTGGTCTAGTGCATCACTTAAATCAATGGGCTTTTTTTTGCAGCCTTACATTTTGCAGAGCAATCTAGGCCCAATATAAGGTGTATTATTTGGTTTTGTGGAAACCTTTTTCATGAACCATGGAAGACACTAGCATGATTCCATTTAGTCAAAGCAGTTAAGTTCAGGAGAACTGGTTGAAGAGCAAGAATCTGTACACTGACCAAACAATGCATCTATTAAGTACAATCAGCAACTTCTGTGCAGACTGTGACTGGAAGATCAGATGTGCAGGTGATTTTAGAGAGGTGGGCATTGTGAGTTATGAAGAGCTGTGGTCCTAAAGTGGTCATTTATGAGGGAATGAAAATTTTGTAAATTTCTTTTTTGGGAAAACTTTATTACGTTGAATCTATCTGATCAAACTTAAGGTGGCCAGAGTATAGAAATCAAGATCTGAACTTTAAAACTGATGCTGAACTGCAAAGAAATAAAAAGAGACATGTGCATAGATTTCGATTACATATTAGGAAAACATTCTTCACTATGAGTGTAATGAGTCACTGGAACAGATTGCCCGAAGAAGTTGTCACTGCTCCATCCCTGGAAGTGCTCAAGGCAGGCTAAATGGGACTTGGAGCAACCTGGTCTCGTGGAAAGTGTCCCTGCCCATGGCAGGGGAGTTGGAACTAAATGATCTTTAAGGTCACTTCTAACCCAGACCATTCTATGATCTTATGATGGCTCTCTCATCTTTATGCATCATCAGAGAATTAGGAGATGGCTCACTTGCTACACACCTGCTAAAACCAGGTACTGAGGTATGCTCTGACTTTTCCATGTTGTTTATACCTCTGTCCTGAATGCCACTGGGAAAGACTGACTAGAGTTTAAAAAGCTCTGTTTTGAAGAACCGTAGGATTAAGTCAGTCAGAATAGTAATTAACAAATCAATAGAGCTGCAGTCAAATAAACAGTGCAGAACAGTAGTATTAATTTTCCCTGTAGCTTAACCCAGATTGTCCAGAAGGCAGTGTTTTTGTTCCAGAGAAGGTGGCTTTCCACCTGACAGGTTCTGCAGTGCAGCTGAGTAAACAGACACAAGTTCAGGACACGGATGGCATCAGCTTTAAGCAGAAGTATCATGCCCATGTACTCTGATGTCAGTCATACTTGGCAACATTCAGTTCAGAGTGTTCAGGAGTTGTGTACTCCTCTCACACATGCAGGAAAGTCATCACACTGGCACTACGTGCCCATTGCCTACATCTAAGCTCACAGACACATGTAGCCTCAGATTTAACAAAGGGATTTCACTGGAGGGCAAGAAGACTTTTTTTTTTCCTTAAACCTTTATTTACTTGTTTCGCTTGTTTTGATGAAAAAGAAAAGGGAGTTGTAACATGTTTTTTCTCCTTGTTTACTTCTTGTTTATTTTTCTGGTGCCTGTGATTGACATAATATTACTCAAGAGGTTTCCTGTGAATATGCAAAACAAACTCTTGTGAGTGAATGACTTTTAGAAAGCTTGTGGATGAATTTTAGCCAACAATAATAGTTTCTATAAATTGTTGCTTCCTGTTTGTGACATAAATACTGCAAATAAACAACAGTAAAAGAGAAAACTAGTACCCGGACTGTGTCCTAAGAGTGTGTCCAGCTGAAGCATAATACATACAGTCTAAAGCACTGTAATGTTTTGGAAAACATGCAGATGGGCATATCTGATGACTGGGCTGATGGAAAAATTTAATGATGTGGAGTTTTAGATCTAGTTTCAGAGATGGTAGTTTGAAACATGCTGTAGTCAGATGAGCTCTGGTGAGTGAAGCTCTGGTGAGGGAAGCTGCCACAGACCCCTTAATATGCTCTGCCCCTCCCTGGAGGCATTTGTCCTTGGAGGAGTTACAAGGAGAACAGCTTTGTGCAAAGTCCAACAATTCCACTCGGTCCCACTGCCATCCAGAATTTAAGCAAAGCTACTGGGTTTGTACTTCAGGAAGGTGAAGTCCAGACAGATTTTTGACTCAGCCAGACCACCTGGAGGGTAGTAATTTCTGATGGAACGGCTGTGAGGGCGGTGTCTACTTTTGATGTTTATCCACTGCTTGAAATTTCTTCCCCCATTCTGTTCAGTGCTGAAGAACAAACCAGGAATTTCCACCACTGATGCCATGGTATGTCCAGGACTGTATAAGGAACAGAAACTCAGCCATAGTTGGTTGGACGGAGTTTCTTTTGCACAGTACAAGGACTGGTAACAGAGAGTCGGTGAAAGTATGCAGGGGAGGGATGACTGTTGAGGTAATTTTGCCTTAATGTATCCTCTGCTGTGTTTATTCTTATAATGCTGCCTTTGGTTTTTAATTTATTCATATTTGAATGACAAATCCGCATGGACACATTTCCTGGCGCTGGAATTAAAAAAAAAAAAAAAATAGCATTTGTGAAAACTTTATAATGGACATCATACTTGGGCTCTAAAGTTAACAACGTGTTCTGGTGAACACTAAGTATCCCACACCTTTTAGTACTTCTCAGCCCTTCAGGCTTTCTTGCCCCACCTCCTGGTCTGGCTGGCAGTATGGCTGTGCATGGGGGTGTGACATGGGGCTGGCAGCTCTGAGGACTGGCAACGTGAGAAAAAATTGCCCAAAACTCTGAGCTTTTCCATTTCATTTGCTAAAAACACTCACCATGCTTGTCAGTGGAATTGGTTCCACCTTTTTCCTGATGTCCATAAGCACCATTTCCTTGTGATCTATAAATTGTACGTACAAGCAAGGCAGGCAGGTTTACCTTATGTCTGTGACTAAGCTATAGATTCAGCAGACTGCAACATAACTCTCATTCATATCTGATTATTGCAAAACATCTGTGCATAGTATTCATCCCAGGGATTGGGATTAAATGCTATATAATGCGATTTATCCAGATAACATGGGAGATTCGGAATCCTGTTGGATAACTGATTTGAGGGGATTTCAAACTCAAGAAAAGAATTGGAAGGGTGTAACACTACTTAAGAGAAGTCCAGACAAACACAGAAGACCACCATAGAAAGTTAGGGTATTTTTTTCATAGAAAGTTAGGAATTGTTTCTCATCCTTTTAGTTTAGTCTTTAAAACTGGTAGACTTGTTTGGTAATATACTTCAGGATAGGTATTAAGTAATGGACTATCATATCCCTCATACCAACAGACATTTCATGTGATGAGATGAGCCATTTTACAACCACTTTCTGTCCTCCCTTTTCTCCTTCTGCCACATTCCTTGTTGTATACTCCTTCCTCTTACGTTCAGTCCCTGCCATGACCTGGTTTAACAGAATAAAAAGAGCCCATCAAAAAGAATGAGATGGTTTTCTGCTGGGTTAATGAGTTAAATCAGATCACACAAGATTTTTATAATTTTTTTGAGCATCAGAGACAGTTTAAGAAATGGAGTAAAACACTTAGCTAGGAGTTTATCAAATGAGTCACAATCAGTGTAAGAAGCTTCTTCCTTCTCTTCCTCACATGCTTATGTGCATTTTCCCATGTGGATCTACTTCAGTGACTAATTTTAAGTTTATTAGATCAAAAGTTTATTTGATCAGAAGACTTACCAAAATTTCTGTTATTGTTCTTGATGAAAGTTCTTAGAGACATTTGAAAAAAAGTGAATAGCAGGGAATATCACAGCTACAGTAGAATTTCTGACAGAAATTCATGCTGGAGCTATACATAGCCCTCAACGGCATTTTGCTGATGTTCAGCCTAGAAAACTACATGGCCTTAAGATGTAAAATAGAAGCATTGTTATTGTGGCCTAGAGAAAACTGTTATTTGGAAAGAAGACAAATTGATATTTTTATGGGTAATATTCTTTTTATGTATATAAACATTATAATGCTTACTGCTTTATTAATGCTTTCATTGGTTCAATAGGTATACCAGTGTTTCTCAAGCTTTTTGCATTTTTTGCCAATCATTCTTTTTAGAAGCCCCAACACTGGAAAAACAGAGCAGTGGCAATTAATGATACTGAGAAAGCATGGCTGTCCAGGTTCCCAGACTAAAAATAAACAAGCCATATTGAGTGGGAAGTGAAGTCCCTTGACAATATGATATGTTTGTATCCAGGTTCATAAGTATTTGCTGAACAGAACAGCATCAGGAATTCAATCTTAAGCAGCTTGCTTATTGTGCTCCTTCTGGCATTGTGATTATCATGTTTATTTGCAACTGCTGGAGCTTGTTTGTTTTTTTTTTTTATTTGTGGCTATGATATTCCCTCATGAATTAAAATGGCTACACACTATTTTCTGTGCCGAAAAAAAAAAAAAGTGAGGAGAACATTTTCACAGCATCACTAAGGACAGAAGTCATAAAATCAAAAATATTTGTATTTTTCATCCCAGAAGAAACATGCTGTGTTTTGTTGGCTTTTTTCTGACCAAAGACTGATATGAGACAATTTAATTCAACCACTATAACCTGACACAAACAATTTTGTCACCAAAAGTTGCTGACTTAGTATACTCATTGCTTTTTATTGTCTTCTTCATCTATGAGTGAAGTATCAACATCAAAAAATCTGAGGCAGGAAAAATGGTAAAATTACATCTCCTGAATATTCAGTGTATTCAGATCTGTCAAGGAATACATCTTGGAGCTGGAGATATACCAGCTCTTCTTCAGTCTCATAAACAACTAACAGCTCATTCCCTCAGGTGGACCTGTTTCAATTCAATTTTCATTGAACAGAATTTTTGCCAGGTCCATTAAAATAATTTCCTTTGTGTTTCTCAGTCGAGTAGAGTGCTGTGAAGAGAAAGGTCACAGAACATTCTAGAGAAACAGGCAATCATCTTTTTCGTTAACTTTGTGATAATTACCAAGACCCATCTCTGAAAGAGTTGTGCTGGCAATATTTGTAAAGGTGTGTCATAACCCTTCTTACCATTCAGAGTGTGTAATGTGGTTTTCAGCATTAGCTAGCTGAGCAACTACCATAGGATTAAGTTTACTAAAGGGTCATTGTCAGAATATAAGATGTAATATTTTTAAAAAACTTCTCCGTTATTGCTGTTCAGCATCCTACACTACTATTGAGATGATGTGAGTCTTGTTGGAGTTGACAAACACTTAAAAATCGTAGATAAAAATAATGTAGTCTAATGTTATGTTCCTACATTCATTAAAAATAATTTAATTTAGATATTTTTTATAATGCTGAAAACCTAGCAGCTTGCAAAATGAACACAAGTTGCTGAGTATTCTGAGCTTTTGAAAATCAGGTTAAATATTGAAAGTCAAGGTTGCCCTCTGCATGTGGGGAAAAAAAAAAAAAAAGACCAATCCTTTACATGTTAACTCTTTTTACCACTAGTTATTGAACTCTTACCAAGCTTCCCCCTTCCTAACCTGGTGTACACTACTTGAACAACCCATAAAGGAGCTGACTGATAATACCTTTTGGTCAATCAGTCTTTTGGAACTTGATAATAATAATAATTCATTCCTGGTTTTATTCAGCTTCACAGACTCAAGGCATTGATACTCAACAGGTATCTGACCCAGTTAAAAAAGGCAAGCATTATATGTTTGGTAATTTTTAAAATCCAAATAAGAATTTTTTTCCTATAATCTCAAACCTCAGCAAAGAGTATGTTCCACAAAGACAAGTACGGAGTTCTTTGGCTGGGGTTTCACTCAGTCTCAGCATTTGGAAGAGCTCATTTTTCTATAATTTAAACTGTCTTCATCACATTATTACACTATTACTTACTGTCTGATAACAATCTCACTAGAGAAAAAATAAACCTGAGGCAAATTCCAGAGAGGTAAAAAAATATTTGCTCCTACTGGCAGTAGGGTACAAGCATTTGTAATAATTTGCAGAGCAGCACTAAAGCCAGCTGCAGCTAACCTTGTCCATGGCTGGCTGGTAAAACACATCTGCCAGGTCAGGTCAGGTCAGGCCAGGCTAAGGGAGAGTGCAGGGGCCTGAGCTGCAGCAGTCATTTTGGCACTTGAGGAGATTTGGTCTTCACCTGCCATCAGTGCTGGGGCTGTGCCTGCCACATCAGCCAAGGTGCTGGAGAGATCCAGGTCTGGAGAAAAAAGACACATGAGCCACCCAGAGGGAAAGATTAAATTAAAAGGGAGTCCCTCTCTGCCAGCCTCTAAGTCTGGGCACAAATCATTACAGCTGTAATTGGCTTCTGTGGGACAGGAGGTCCAGGTAAGTAGAGTTTAGGCACAGTTTAAGTATGGTAGAGTTGAGCACATTGCAGTGTTATGATGGGTAAGGGCTTGCCTGCCAAAATGGAGACTAATAAAGAATGTTTTTTAAAATGGTTTTGCAGTCTCGCCACTTTCTTCCCCAGCTGCAGCTGTTCCTAGTTATTGTGTACCACACCCAAGGGGAAAAACGTAACAAATCACATTCTCCTTGGCTTTCCTGGAACTGACATTGCTTAGAGGAAGTTTAACAAAGAAAAAAGTAAATGTACTAGCTCTTAATATTTTGTTTCTGTGTTTTAGATCCAGACTGGAGTATTATCCAATGTAACAATATGTGGGATAAGGTGAGAAAATAAAGGTCAAGGCAGGCCACGTGCATAGCTCACTGCTAGCACATTTCCTTCTAGTTTCTGGTGCTCTGGCAATGAACAATGAAGGCTGTACACTCCTACAGGTGCAAGGTCCCCACTTATTGTCGATGTTGTTAACTTTCCTAAGTACCCACCTTCTGTTTTGCACTTTACAGCTTAGACTTTGCTACACAAGCCTGAAAATTTTAGGGTTTCATCTGATAAAAAAGAAAAATGTTTTTGGTGTCTGTTTTACTTCTGTAATGGTAAAGTAACCCTCTGCTGCATCTGTGATAGTACTTCTGACTGACTCAGAGGGGGTATAGTAAGCGTATGATATTGGCACTTACAGCATTGTGGTTCTTTGTAGTTTGAAATACAGGAAATTACCTTTTTTTTTTTTTTTCCCCCACATATGATTCTTAAAAAATGCTTCAGACTAAAGTAGCAGGAAGTTTACCTCTAAGGATTTTCCATTCTGTGTGGACATATTTATGTATATCTTGTCATGAATTTCTGTGGAGATATAGTATTTTCTGGACTGACCTATGTATCCTTTAGCTCTGAGAGTCTCATTCTCGATGCTAAAGACATTTACGAAAAGTCATGTGTGCAACAGGAGGCAGGAAATGTGTGTACCACGATGTGATCCTGTCCATGAGAAAAAAATTTCATTCATCCATCTTTAATCTGTTCTCACAGAAGATAAGGGAAAAATGGTTAAAATGTCTTTAAGACTGCAGAGAAGACTTTCAATATCCAAGTGGTTTCTCAGTTATTGTTCTATTCGAAATACAAAAAAGACTAGGGTTTCATTCTGTGAAGAGGGTTAGTTGGTGTAGTTACATCATGGTACTGAAAGACATAAGACACATGATAGCAGTACATTAGCAGTGCTGGAAAACTCCCACGTGTTCAGCAGAAGCTGATATGCTGTGGCAGATACCAAAACTGTTTTAATGGAGCTTCCCATGGAGCTGAAACATTAGAGGTCCTGAAGCTTGTTAACGTCTTTGTGAACAGCCCAGGGACAAGAGACTGGAAAATCTCAACCTAATGGCAAAGAATATCTCTGACCCTGCACTATCCTTCTGCAAATAACAGAAGAGAGGCTTTAGCCATAGGTTCATTGCTTTTCATATGCATCAGCATGCCATAAAGGGACGTATGGTCTGATTCTGTGAAATGCTGGAATTACCCTTTTCAGAGGAGGGTTAAGAGAATGTCATATCACCAGAGCAATAAAACCAGGTCCTGTGCCTACGACCGAAGTTTCCACATTTTAGCACTAGAATTTGTATCTTGCTATGGCTCCCCTTTAGTAAAGAAACTAAAGCCATATCCTTTTTTTAGTAAGTAGTAGCACTGTAATAGCTGATATGGATTTGTTCTTTCTTCTTTTTTGGCTGAAGTCATGATTGTAGCACAAAGAGGGATTGAAAAAAGGAAGAAAGAAAAAGGAAGGAGCGGTTCCCCTCAACAAACACAAGACCCAAGAAAACCAGAACAGCAAGCAAAGATGTAAATTTTGGAAAGAGAAAATCTTGCCAGGCATAAGACCCACTGCAGTTCTCCCTTCTGATACTGCCTGAGTCAAGGAACAGACAACATGCTATGAAATATCAGGGTATATTTTGGAGCCCCAGTTCTACAGCCAGTGAAGGCACATGAAAGTGTAATGTGTCTGATTTGCTTAAATAGCTCCCAAGACTTTGGTTATGGATTATGACTCTACCAGCAAGGGAGTAGATATCACCAGAAACCAAAATTCTTCTCGCCTTTTTTTTTTTTAATAAATAGTTTGCACACCTTGTCTGATGTACACATGAAGCTTCTCTCACCACTACTAAACCAGCTTACTAGTTAGTAAAGAGTGTCTCCTGAATATAAAGTATCATTTGTCTTGAACAATACACGCTGTTTTTGTGAGGCAGACTCCACTTCCAGAAAGAGCTCTGATTTTCGGGAAACAATTCCAGGAAGGATCACGCACGAATTTGGTGGAAGCTGGCTCCTGGAAAGTGCTCTCCTTTCCCACCCACAGACATCAGGATCTAGCAGCCCAAACACTCCATCCAGCCTCTCCTACCTCCAGGCACACACATTTAGAAGCCTTGCTTGCTTTCTCCTCTCCCTTCCCATTCTTTCTCCATGTTGATGATTATTGCCCTGCTTACCCCACCCCACACCCATCATACTTATCCTCCCCAACTGCTCCATCATTAGATAGACTTTGGTATCTGAAGCCTCAAGCAGTCAGGGCAAACCTGTAAAACATCCCTAGTAAGGAGAATGGAAAGGCATATTGCACTCTGCCCAGCCTTCAGACACAATCGTCCCTGCCTTGGTGCCTGGAAGGAGAAGGCAGGGGTACTACCTGATAGAGAGGCAGCCAAAGATGTGGAAGGAAGCCTCCAAAATTAGAAGGTCAGTTGGGACTAAGGGCAAGTCTTGAGCCAGATTTTGACTGGATCTCTCCCTGCTGGCAGCTGTGGCATCCCAGGAGGCATTACAAGCAGCAGAGACTGAGACCCTGCAGGGGAGGAGACAGACGGTCCCTCGGAGAACACTGAGGAGTGCTTCTGCCACAGGTGCACAATCAGGCAACCAGCTCAGGCCAGTGAAATGACACACTCCAAGAGTAACATTCCCAAATGGTGTATTTTAAGCATTTAAACTTTTTAAACATCTCCTCCTAAGGGGACAGTAGCAAGCAATTCCAAAATGTCAGAAGTCAAGCAGATGAGGCAGAAGGCTAGCTTGGCTGAGCAGGGATCTTTTCTTGGAAAAAAGGAAGGTGCATACGCCGTGGAAGCAAGGTCAGGTAACGTGGTGTCCTAGTTTTGGCTGGTTAACTTTCTTCACAGTGGCTAGCATGGGTCTGTATTTTGAATTTGTGCTGAACACAGGATTGATAACATAGAGATGTTTCTGTTGTTGCTGAGCAGGTTTAATATCAGGAAATATCATTCTTCACCCAAGTGGTTGGGCACTGAACAGGCTCCCCATGGAAGTGGTAACAACACCAAGCCTGTATGAGTTCAAAAAGCATTTGGATAATGGTTTCAGGTACATGGTGTGATTCTTGAGGTGTCCTGTGCGGTTGGACTTGATCATCCTGGTAGGTCCTTTTCAACTCAGCATATTCTATGATTCTATGATTCGATTTACTGCTCTGAGCAGTGCAGAGAAGGCCAGAGACAAGGAGATGTGTGAAAAGGCTAAGGCCAGGATATATGTCCATCTGGCACACTCATGAAGGCTAAGGTGCAGGAGATATGAAGGGGAACAGCCACCACTCTAAGATGACTTGCACGCTGTCTCTATTCACTGAGTTTCTCTTAGGACTTCCTCCCATATTTCCTCTCACCTACTTTGTGCTCTTGGATGTGAGTGCCAATATCATAGGCTCACAACATATGTAGCACATGGAGGTTTCCTCACCATGCCAAAAAAATGAAGTAACTAGGTGGAACTCTGTGAACCTAGTAGGTGAAACCTAGCTTCATGGCTAGGTGTCTCACATGTATCAACCCCCAACATACAGCTCTCCTAACAGACCCACCAAAAAAACTGCTAAAAGGACAAATGGTTCTGGATCTGGCCAGGAGGACTAAAGGAAAGAGAGTTTTGCCCCTTACATCACTCAAGCTTCCAAAGCTTTCCTGTAGCAGAAGGCACCTTGCCACTTCCCCTGCACCGTGACTGCATAGGCATAGTGTCTGCAGGCGAGGGGGAGATTGAAACTGGGCGATGCTGAGTCTGGGAAGCAGAAAGAGAGTTAAAAGTCCAACAAGGGCCATGTCAGTGAATTCTGACAGTGCTGTGGTACTGGGATCAGTGCTGGGACGGTCACTCACCTCTACAGAGGTGTCCAAACAAAACAAACTCATCTAAGCCCTCGTGGACACGTAAGCTACTGCAGTAGCGCAACACTCCCGGCAGAACTTTGGCCGGGTCAGTTACTAGTGCCGGTTAGCACAGCCGGGAGAAGGCAGTGCAAACCTGCCCCCGACTCGCATAGTGGTGGCTGGGCTTGGCTTGTTTTCTTCTTCATATTTGGATGAGTCATATCAGGGAGGAGCACATTGCGAAGCCCTCAAAATCGAAACAGAAAGCACAGGCACGTGACACAACAGGGGCTGGCTGTGCTGTCAGACATCTCAGGCTGTGCAGTCATTTCGGGACTTGACAGCACACACACCCAGCTCGGCTCCCCACGGCACGACCTTAGCCCTCTCCAGCGTCTCAGCTCCGCACCCAGTCAGATGGGCAGCCGGTAAGTATCCTCCACCGAGACCCCCGCCTTTTTAACACCAGGAGGAGAAGTGGTGTTGCAGGGTGCAATATCTTGGAGGGAGCAGGTCCCTCTCCAGCTGTAGGACGGTTTAAGGGCAGTTCCTCCACAGTCTGTTCCATTTGCCGCTGGCTGATTTTTCTTTGCTGGCAGTCCTTAGCTTCTCAGTGGCCGCCTTTCTTCATCTATGGTTTCCCTGCAGCTGAGGGGAAAGAGGGTTCGAGGAAGCCATGGGGCTGGGGGGCGGGGCAAGTGTCTTGAAGGAAAGTGCCAAGTCCAAAGCTGCCTTCCTTTCCCACCACTCTTGCACGGCATTCCTACCCACAGCAGCCAGGGAGAGGGGATGCAGCAAAGTCAGGTCTTCGGGGGGGACTCTTCAGTGCAAGAGAACATGTCCATTCCCTTGTCCCTTTAAATTCAGCCCCACTGCAGTGGCAACCGGTGACTCCACAGAGATAGGTGACCCTGCACAGAGGCCAGATCCTGTGCCAGAGCTGCATGCATTCCTGCCACCTTTGCCCAGGCACTCTGTCAACAGCTTGTTGGAGAAAGCACAGCCCCAGCCTGGGAATGTGCTCACCTGCCTACCGGCAGCAGAGGAAAGGGCTGTGCAGTCTCAACAGCACAGAGGGTGCCTGTGAGCCACATCTCCCCCAAAGACACCCCAGGGAACTCCTGAGCCATGCACATGGAGCCTCTCTCTGCCGGGGAGACTGAGACACAGAGCTCTCCTGTGGTGAAACCCAGTGTTTCCAGCAATGCCTGTCCAGAAAGAAGGTGGCTGAATCCAGACTGGGGCTTGCTGTGCCATGCTTTGATTCCTCTTTCTTGCACTTCTGAGGAAGAGCCACAGAGTCTCCTGTCCAAAGGCATAGGCACCTCCTTAGAGGTGGCAAGGCTGCAGATGTTTGGGAAAAACCCCAGCTGTACACTGGGTGACAGCTCTTTCCTGTTTGTTCCTTGCTTCTCAGCCAGGCTGCCACCAAAGGATGAGCTGCAGAGCTCACAAATGCCGTGCTTGCAGCTGCACTGGTGGCAGGGTACTGGGTCTCAGCCTTCACTGCCAAAGTATACATCCCCTCCAGGCCAGCCATGTGTTCCCTATCCAGCTGGCACAAGGCACCCCCTCCAGGCATTTTTCCGGCCCTGTCACAGTCACGCCTAGGGACAGGGATTTACCTGCTGGGCTGGCTGGAGAGACAGCAGAAAGATAAGGGGCAAAGCTGCCTGAAATTTGGCAATGAACAGAGGGACATCCCTGGGAAAAGAAAATACGTCCTTATAGATATGAGCCTCAAAGCAAAAAAGAGGGCAGAGAAACCATGGGGTTTCCCCAGGCCCTCATAGATACAGAGATCCCATAGCAGCACGGAGTCTCTGAGGTGGCTGTCCTCTACCCCTGCCATATAATATCCACACACCTGCTAGGAATTTAATTCTCTGTCCCCTCTCTAGTAAATATGTGCAAGTAGGACAATTTTAATAGCTTTTATATTTTATAGATGTTGGGGAAGTAAACATGAGATGATTGAACAAAAAGCCTGTATTTTTACAAGCCCTCCTTCCTTAGGAAACCAGTCTAAAGAAATGCAACATCAAAGACTGGTGGGTGGGCAAGGCCAGGAGCTGGCTGGGCTGTACTGGTCCCAGCTCTGACAGAAATTAGAACAGAGTTAGAACTTTCCCCAGTTCTTACAGAAATCCCTGGGGAGCTGGCCAGCTAACCAAGAGTCCCTTCCAAGTGCAACTTGTTCTGAGGGCTGTGAGGCAGGACAGCAGGGAGAACAGTGGGTGGTGTGAGCCCTTGTGGAACAGGGAGAGGAAAAGCAGGAATGCCTGGCTGCAGGAGACCCTGTGTAAGATAAACAAATCAAGGGGCAGTATTAGGGGCAAGACAAACCGTGGTGAAATTACATGTGCCTGAGGTCTCATTCTGCAACACACTCTGTGCCCAACTTCCTGGTTGCTTGTGTCTTCATTGTAGATTCGGAACAATGGGCAACCTCCATGTGACCTTCCAGTCTCTCCAGAAGCCCGTTGTGAAGAAGACCTTCAAGGGAAGCTACAAGAAGTGAGGGAAAAGCGATCAGGGGAAGTGGACAGGTTGGTGTCTGATGCTGTGACCCCCTTCCATGCTGTATGTGTGCTGCTCCTGGCCATGACTGTGTGAAGAAGAAGTTTGGGACAGAGAAGCTTTCTCTCTGTGCTCATTAAAAACAGGTGCCCACTTCCAAGTATCCAGGGAGAGACAGGGTGTGGGAGGGGGATACTGAAGGGGTCTCTAGTCACCAGCACCACAGCCGGGCACTGGGTACAAATTTAGTGGAGTCTCTCCTGGCACTCTAAAAACTGAGAGGTTGGGCTGTACCAAATCCACAAGCAGCTTTGGACAATGACCTAGAGAACATCCAGGACATCAGGATGACGTACCACTAGGCAATAGGCAATGAAGGGGGGACAGTGGGACCAACATGAACTTTTTGAAGGAAAGTGGTGAATGATTCTTAGGAGATAATGCTTGTCAAAGGGGGGGTAAAAGTTATTTGCAAAGCCTCGAGTCAGAGGCTGAGCTTGAAGCCAAGGTCTCCGAGCTCTTTGTCCTGCTTGTGTCTCTTTGCAAATCTGGGTGGTCTGTGCTGTGATGCCATGTGGATCTGCAGGCAGTGATACCCCTTCCTGATGCCTCTTCCCTATTTTTCAGTGTGAAGCCGAAACCTGCAAGAGGGCACTGAGGACAGTTCACATTTCTGGGAAAGGACCAGTCTCAGGTTTGCTAAGCAGTCTGAGAGAGGAGCACAGAGGATGGCAATCACAGGTCTGTCTCAGTAGCACCCATGTCCCTGGGCCTCAGGGGAGGGTGAGTGGCTGCAGGTCGATCCAGGGTGCCTCTCTGAGCTGGGCACCTGCCTGTCTGAGCAGGGCATTGGTTCCAGGCAACCAGGACAGAGGAGCACCATGTTTGCCAGCCTCAGTGGTGGGAGCAGAGCTGCAGGCAATCGGTCCTGGTGTGCTCAGAAATCTATGGGCATGTGGAGCTCAGGTGCTGGAAAAGGGTGGCATCGATGGCACTGACTGTCCCAGAGCTATAGGACAGGGGCAGGGAGGCAAGGGGAGCCCTGCAGTTCAGCTCCTGTCATACCTGCACTTTACTCAGTAGTCCAAAGATCACAAGGGATGTCCTTGTCTGATTAAGACTGAAAGAAAAGCATTTTCCCAGAATAGCTCTTAACTCCTCCTCCTTTTACTCAGTGGTCCAAAGATCACAAGGCTTGTCATTGTTTGACCAAAACTGAAAGAAAAGCATTTTCCCCAGAATAGCTGTAAAGCTCCTTCTTATCAGACAGCAGTTTTGCTCTCCTGCCATCACTGCTGTTTGCTGACAAGTGCCTCTCTTTTTCAACATGAGAGACCATGGTGCAAGGGGCATGTGGGGAGCTGAGTCATACCATCCTCCCAGTGCCGGTCCATACATGGGACATCATTAAGCCACCTTTGCTGTGACAAAAAATGCACCAAATGTACCCCCGTCGACCCAGTAACACATGCAGCACAGTCCTAGGCAGGACTGAGATGCTTCGGTTCTGTTTGCAAGGGGAGTCCTAAACTCCAGCAACACAGGCTCAGAGCACATCTTGGGAAGAGTGCCATAATGGACAACAACTGAGGGGTCCCCCCATTTATGTTTTGCAATAGGCATCCCCACAGCAGGCTTTTCCATGGCACCAAGAAAGCATACAGGCACCAGGATGGGTCTGCTGCAACAGAGGTGTACAGGGTACCCGCTCTATGTGCTGAGTCTCCTCGAGGCTGCTGGGACCTTGACCTTGATGGTCTATGCACTGCTGTGTGAAGTTGGAAACCTGGTTGACCTCCCTGACAAACGCATTGGCTTTTACAACTTCTGCCTGTGGAATGAGACAGCCGGGGAGCTGCAGTGCCTGGACTACAAGCATCTACAGGTGATGGGCATCAGCCTACCAGAAATAGCGCTAGCCAGGGTTTGCGTCTATACCTGCCTGGTCTTCAGCATCTTCTACCCCCTTTTTGTTGTAAATGTGCAGTGCACAGAGCAGAGAGAGGGGTGGAAGATGATCCTCATCATACTCTTTATCCAGATGATAATCCTGTCTGGAGGCCTGGGTATGTTTCTTTTACAAACCTCACAGTGGATTCATCCCTCTGATTTCACTGGGGGCTTCCTGGCACTGCTTGGGACTCAGGCTCTGCTACTGCTTCAGATTCTCACTGCCACTATGTACCTCAGCTGGGTCAAGCACACAGACAAGTGTCAAAGGCCTTTTACAGAGAAGGTCCTGCCCACTGAGATTTGACAGTGAAGAAGATGCAAAAGCTATCATTAACCTGATTTAAATTAGTAATCCCAATGCAGCTTTAGTCACTGGCAAGAATTTTATCCTTAGTCCAAAGGCTCATGTCCAGCCATGCTCTGGCATATTGCTGTGTGCAACACTCCTCTCTCGAGTTGGCAGCAGACACCAATAGCCACAGCGCATGACAGAAGCTTCCCAGGAACAACAGCGTGTAACATCCCTCAGTATGGGGAACAGCATCAAAGCAACAGCACTTCTGGCCCTGACCCAAAGGGCAGTGATCAGAACCAGCAGACAGTGGACACAGTCCTCTGTCCTAAGATAATATCTAGTTTAAGTTCAGCCAAGCAGGGAAGGAAGCATACACCCTTTCTTGGAGCTGCCCAGAGAATATGCTCCTTCTCCACCTCCTGGACTAACCAGGGATGCCTTCAAGGTAATTGTGACTTGAGTAGCTGTGGCTTCATGCTGCCATTACAGCAGTAGCAGCCTCAAAGGTGCACTGAAAATACTCTCTTCAGCAGGAGCACCTGTACTTCACCAACTCTAATAGTATCTGGAGTGACTCTGCCTTAGTGCATCCAACCCTAGCAGCAGCAGAGCACCTGGAGAGGCAGCCTAACAACTTGATGAACAGAGCCCCAGTGAGGAGGGTTTCCATGAGGAAGCAGAGGATTTTGGTGCAGAGCCCCAGGTTTGTTCCCCACTGATATTATGGGGCTGAGCCCAGCACTCCAGCAACCTTTGAGACTCCAGAAGAAGTGGTTCTGTGTGATGGCAGCTCACCACAAAGCCGCTCAGGACACACACCACACAAGGGTGTGCTCAGGGAGCAGGGCTAGGGCTGCCAAAAGGCTGCAGTGCAATGCCCCAGCTAGGCCATCATAGCCAGAGCACTGGATGGAGTCTCCATGCCATGTCTGTAACCTTGCGCAAAGAAACACCTTTGCCGCCACCCCCTTTGCGGACATGAGGGTCGATTTTCTCTCCTCTTTCAGTCTTGGTGGGGATGTGGCTGGTGATGGTAGTTTGACTGATTCTTCATTTCAGTAAAGGCTCTCGCACCTGGCCTCACTGGTTTGTTCATCACCCTTTTGGATTGGGAAGAGGATAGCAAGGGGTATTCATCCCTTCCTAGACCCCCATGCACACTGCCAGGGGTCAGCCCCCTCAGGACAGTCCTGGCCTTGCCAATCTGCTCCTACTCATGTCTTCCTCAGCCATGGGAGGACTGATGGAGTCCAGAAGCAAATTTGGCATTGGGTCCAACGTAGACAGCCTGCCAAGCCCCACTGCAGCTGTCACAGAGGGACCACAAGGAAGCCCCCAAGGCTGAACCATGACTATGCAGCTCTGCAGAGCCAGCAAAGGCCTTCCAAGTCAGCAACTCCCTGCTCCCTTCCAGTCCCAATACTGACCCACCAAAAGAACACTCACAGAAACCAGAATGTCTTCTTTAATCTGTCAATGCTCTGAAATGCCACACAAATGAACGCATTCTAATCTGGAGCCAAATCCCACTGAACCCAGCACAGACTGGAAGAAGTGAGTGCCTCATTCCTTTCCCCTCCCTGGTCTTTGTAGGTATCCTACCAGCTCCATAGGCCACCAGCACAGCAGACACACAGTCCGCTCCAGGCCCTCCTCCCACTGTCCTCAGCACCATGGGAAGGGACACTCGCCCCACTGTCCCCTCTACTCCTGGGGAGTCCCAGAGGAGATGTTAGCTGAAAAAGATCTCCCTGACATATTTCAGAACGTCGTCTTCAGAGTTCTCCCCGCCTGTGCTCCCTGTGTCGGCAACAGCACCAGCACCAGGAGGGGATGGCAGCACCGGACTGTGGTCGCTGCCTTCCCCCGTGTTGGCCTTGCTCCCAGAAGCCTCGTTTAGTGTTGGCTGGAGCTCTTGTTCCTCTCTGCTCCCAGACTGGGCCTTCTCTTCACTTTCCTCGCAATGTAGATTCTGACCAAAGGAAAAACAAACAAACCCGGCCGTGCGTGACTTCACCCCGGGAGCGCCCCAAGGAGTAGAGGGTGCAGCCCACCATCCCCGCGGGAGAACAGGCCCCAGGCCCGCGGTGGAGCCTGCTTCTGCCCTGCAGCGCCCGGCAAGGGCTGCGCTGCTGGGATGGAGAGGAGGGGACCGGGAAAACTGCGCGGTAAGCGGAAGGGCCCCCCGACCCGCCCCCGGGAGAGGGGCCGCCCGCCCGCGCTCCCCTACGGCCAGGGCCGAGTGCCGCAGGTCCCGGCTCACCTCTGCCAGGACCGCCAAGGCCACCTCCACCAGCTCCGCCTCGTTCATACAATACACCGCCGCCGCCCTGGGCCGCGCACAGGGGGGCGCTAAGAGCGGGCAGCGCCCGGGCTCGCTCCCCGCCCGCCGGCCCCGCCCCGGCGGCGCTACCTGCGCCTTGCCGCCGCCCGCCGCCGCCCGGCCCGGGGGGGCGAGGACGCCCCCGCCCGCTCGGCCCCCGCCGCCCCCATCCAGGCCGGGAGCTGCCGCCTCCGCCCGCCCGCCGCCATCCCCCGCCAGGGAACACCGCGGAGGGGGCGGTGCCGCAGGGACAACTTCCGCCCGCCCCTCCGAGCGTGCTTCCTCGCTCCCCCGAGAGCGCGGCGGAGCTGGAAAGGCGGCCCCACGCCGCCCTACAGCCCAAGTCACGACAGAGCCCCGTGCTTGGTCAGGCAGGGCGGGAGGCGACGTAGGCGGGCAGGCAGCCACGCGTTCCTCAGTATTCCAAGGAGCAAGCCGGGCTTTGGGCCAGCTGCGGAGGAGCAAACAGCACGTTTGGAACACCCCTTGCCAGCCACTCGGGCCCCGGCGCTCGCTGCTGCGGGGGCGCCCTCCGCAGGCTGTGGCGAGCAGCGCTGCCCTGTGCGGGAGAGGCGGGCGCTGCTGAGGGGAAGCAGGAGTGAGAAGAGCCTGCTCAAAGGATAGAGTAAAATCCCCCTTAGGAATAAAGCATATCTGAGGATTGTTCTAGCAAAACAAGATGTTAATTCCTTCAGGCTTCTGGCACAGTATCAATGTTGTCCTAATGCATCATTTTGCATAGCAGCCTTGGTCTGGAACATCTCTTTAATATTTTATTTCACTAGTAGTGAAAACTAGGGAGTTTTTTTTAGTCGTACTTATGAAGCAAACTTGAAAGTAGTTTCTCTCCAGAATCTCATCTGACCCTTTGTCAGTGTTGTCAGAAGGTAACAGCTGGAAGAAGCTAATATCCCTGGAAATGTTCAAAGCCAAGTTGGATGGGGCTTTGAGCTGCCTGGTCTAGTGAAAGTTACCCCTGCCCACAGCAAGGCAGCTGGAACTAGATGATCTTTAAGGTCCTTTCCAACCCAAACCATTCTATAATTCTCTAACTCCAAATTCTAAAATACCTATGCAATGCAGTCAACCCTGCAAGGGCTTGGAATGCAACCACAGTCTTTCTTGGCCTTTTGAGAGTCCAGCAAAGGCTCCCACTTGAGAGCTCTCTAAACTCTCAGGTCCTCAGACCAACCATGGGAGTTTCTGAAGCCATTCAAAGTCAGCACTAGGTTTGAGGAGACATTATCTTGGACTGGCATGAGGAGAAGCTGCAGCACCATGAGTATCGCATCCCACTGAGGTAGAAGCCCGGTACTGTAGATGTCAGTCTGCCAGGGGACTTGAGGGGGTTTTCAGATGAGACTGTAGTCAGCAAGAGCAAGTTACTCAATGGACAACAGGTACCCATAGCATGAACATGCCTGTAGTGAGGATTTCAGTACCCAGCAGTGTTACCCTTTAGCAGCTGTCTGTGAATATGGCTACCCATATGGCTCATGAATGGCTGTTTGTTTTCCAGTGGAGTGTATGCTCTGCCAAGGAACACCACCACCATAAGCTCCCAATACAGGCCAAGGACATAAAGCACCAAAAAGTTCCGTGGCAACGTGTAAGCAGATGAAATATGTCTGCTTAGTCCACTCAAAGACTACAAAGTGCCTTAGCACAGCACTTTCCCTGGTGTTGGAGGGTGCAGGGGGAAAGACAGCTCCAGTGCCAGAGAGCACTATAAAGGGCCAGACTGGTTCTGGCTCTCCCTCCTCCTACCCACCATCAGGTACCTGCTAGGCATTAATTAGTTTCTCAACTCCAGCACAAGCATTTCAAAGTCTGACTAAGGATCTTTGCTGTAGTTGGTAGCAGATACCTATGACAAGGTACATCCAAACAAAGGCAATTATTTTTGTTCATGGATGTCTGGTTCCCCCTGGTGTGCGGGTGTCAGTGCCGGAAGCACCTAGTGAAAAAGACACAAGGGCCTTTTCTCCATGCAGGAGACTCTTGGACATCACTGTCTCAGCCACCCTCTCCCTGTTTTGCAGCAACAGCTGAACAAAACACAGAGCTCAAGTGCAAGGGAATACTTTCTTTTTATGGAAAAAAAAAAACCAAACAAAAACCAAACTAACAAAATCATAACAACAAATGTTACATAGAAAGAATATTCTGGTTTCACGTCAGCCTTTCCAGTTTGAGTCACCTTATCAACATGCACTGTGCTGCCTGATGCTTGCCTCCTCCAGCCTCACCTTCTGCAGAACCCCTGACACGACTCCAACAGCCTTCCAGCCATGTGCTACTCAAGACTCCCTAACAGAGGGAAGCCCAGCTGCCATAATGGGTCAGTGGAGACTTATTTTTCAGTGCTGCCACCGATCCAGTCCCATACTGGCATTCTATTGCACAGTGGTTTGGCAAATGTATTTGTCAAGAGGCAAAAGCTACAATGAGAAGAGGGACTTTGCTTTGCCTTCTCTCCCATGCACTTTGTTCCTGTAGAGTTAACACTGTTTTTTCCAAGTCTGTAGTTTTCCCTTCGGTACTGTCCAGGTTAAGACTTTTGAGCCAGTAAAGTTGTTAATTTAATCTTCCCATCCATAGAGGCAGTGAGGCAGGTCCCACAGTCCATGGCTGTGCTCCAGTCCACTGTGACAACAGGAGCTCGGTGTCCTCCCAGGGAAAGGCAGCTTTCCAGAACCTTTTCTTCACCATTTAACTAAAAGAAGGAAAGTGTAGATTTTAAGGAGGTAAGTTTCTGCAGTAGGGACAATGCACCCAAAAAGAGAAGCCAAAGACTGCTACAAGACTCCACATCTGACATCATGCACAACTAAGCAGAAAACCAGAGAGATACTGAGATGTGTGTAGCGCATATGAGAAAGGAAGTTTCCAGTCTCAGAAGCACATGTTCTCAAGCAGCTCAACTTCAGATGTGAACTGACCTGCAGTAATTGAACAAGGCAGGCTAAGAGCACATCCTGATGAGAAACATGTAAGCCTAAGCTAAAGCTCATGTTAGTTCACATGCTGTGAGTGCCCCAGATGCAAAGTAAAAATTCCACCTAATCTGCTTTGCAATGGCTTATACTCAAGAGAAGGCAACGGGCATGTCGTCAGTAACCATTTGTAACTGAGGCACAGACATTTGTGAACTTTGAACCACTCAGCCTTACGTTTCAATTGATTTCAGTACACAGTAAGGGGAGAATCAAGCTGGGTCTAACACAGCACCAACAAGCACACAAGGCAGATTAAAGATGAGCATCAGTCACAATCACACATTTTGCATTGAACTGGCATGCATCCGTACATTAAAAAAAATAATTAAAACTCTGTCCCAGGCACTTGGACCCTAAGAAAAATTGCCACAGCTAAACTTTAAGAAGGAGGAGCACACATACTCCAGCTACATACAGAGGATCCAAACACTTGCTAAACACCACACTGCTAAAATGCACACTCTGTGAAACTGAGCAATAACTATCACAGAGCAAGGATGGGTAGGTTCTGTTTGAGAAATTCCAGTGTCTGCTGCTGCACCCTTGTAATTAACAAAAACCTGTATGGATGTGTAAGGGTATCCCCCATCACTTCTCAGACTTACCTTAAAAATTACTCCCCCGGTAGAAGAACATGTCAACATATAATTGCCCTCAGAGTCAAAAGCAAAAAGCCGTCCTCGTGGGAACTGGACTTGCTTGTAGCCACTGTACCCAGACAGAACAAACGGACCTGTAGCTTCACTGGGAAGGTCATACTCAGACACCTTCAAGCCACTTTTGTGAATATTCCACTGAATAAACTAGAATGAGGAAAAGAGATGACAAAAGCCTATAGTGAAATTAACTAGGATCAAAGTAAGAGTGGCCATTTGTTGTTTTTAAGCAAAGTGGCTATTCCTCACAAACAGAAGATGGCATTTTGACATCTATATCTAAGTGGCTATATCAATAAAACACAGTGTAGTGGTTTTGAGTCTAGGCCTTCCTTGGTGATCAGGTTGTAACCAAGGAACCAAGGTCATGTTCCCAGTATTCCAGGCACTTGGCTGGGAGCCAAGTCCAACCTGGGACACACAGGTTGCAAAAGCAGTAAGAGTCCAGGCAAACCTATGCCCTACCTTCGATGAGCACTGCTGCCTATCTGTCCTTCCACACTGCATGCAGTATCCTGGTGAGAATTCACTTAACTCTCCTCATCTGAGGCTCCACACCTTCAGGCAGATGGTTCCCTTCCTAAGCCACACCTCTACTGCTGAAGACTGCAGAACTGCAGAAATTGAAGCATTTATTATAAGCAACAGAGAGCTGCTGACAAGGAGATTTACACAAAATGGTCAAGGATCTGCTTCCCTGTGAATCCCAGATCTCAAATGTGGTGATCTCAGGGGCACAGAAATGTCATCTTCACATGGACTACTTAGGAAGGGGATGTCACTAACAGCAGGATTTGCAGACAAGGTCCAAGACAGCTCCAGCTCCTAATATACTTTTCAGCCCCTCTCCCTGCAGAGACCGAACGGAGCAGGGTGGTCCTGCAGATCAGACGGTACGTAAGATTACAGTTAGCAGCCCAGAGATCGTCCAGGTTCTGAGCGTATTTTTACTACTGTCCCCACCATACGGAGAAGACTCCAGAAGCGATCTCACTGCCAGTAGAAGCTGATGAGTAGGTCACCCACGGCCTACCTTGCCATCCTCGCCTATGCTGTAGACTGTGTTCTCATCATAGCTGAACTCAACGGAGTAGACTTCCCCATCATGGGCCTTCCAGCTCATGGCGCACTCGTGCTGCTGCATATCTAAGGGGAGAACCAGTACTGAACACTTTTTGTACTCACACAGAGCTAAGGTGAAAAGAGAGAGAGGCCTTTTATGTTCCTAAGGTCTCTGTCCCAGCCCTCTAAACCCGCTGGGGGGAGCCCAATCCAATTCCAGCACCCTGTGCTTATACTCCAGCATATGGCTTTCACTTGGGCCACAAAAATCATTGCCTGTAACTACTCAACTCTTCCTCCAGCTTTACAGGGCTGCTCACTGTCAACTGCAAA